GGCAGTGTTCACCAACCTTTCGATAAAACTCTTATAATTATTATATGCCGAAATTGGTTCTCGGCCTCCTTCAAAACCCTTCCCTTCTGGCAACCATCAGTCTTATAACTCTGTATTTTTGAGTCTGACTCTGTGTTTTGGTTGTTCATTTATATTGTTTTTCAGATTCCAAGGATAAGTGAAATCATATGGTACTTGTCCCACTCTGACTGACTTATTATGCTAGCATAGTACCCTTTCTGGTCCACCCAGGCTATTGCAAATGGTAAGATTTTGTGTTTTTGTTATGGCTATGGGTATGGGTATGGCTATCTCCAGTTTTTTTTTTGTCCAGTCATCTATCATCTATTGATGGGCACTTGGGTCTTTCAACAGTTCATTATTGGTGTATAAAAATACCAGGAGTGCCGAAACTGGTTTGGCTCAATGGATAGAGTGTAGGCTTGGGGACTGAAAGATCCCGGGTTCGATTCCCGTCAAGGACATGTACCTTGGTTGTAGGCATATCCCCAGTGGGGGGTGTGCAAGAGGCAGCTGATCGATGACTCTCTCTCATCAATGTTTCTAACTCTATCTCTCTCCCTTCCTCTCTGTACAAAATCAATAAAATATATATTTTTTAAAATGCCAGGGGTTTTGGAATTTTTTTTTTTTTTGTATTCTCCTACTTTAGGGAATTTATCAGTTCATGTCATCTGCAAATAATGACAGTTTACTTCTTTTTCTTAAGTATGTTCTCATTAATTTTTAGGGAGAGGGGTAGAAAGATAGAAACATTGAAGAGAGAGAAATGCCCCCTTTTAGGGATCAAGACTGCAACCTAGCCCTAACCGGTTTGGCTCAGTGGATGAAGCTTTAGCCTGCGGACTGAAGGGTCCCGGGTTCAATTCCAGTCAAGGGCATGTACCTTGGTTGCAGGCATATCCCCAGTAGGGTGTATACAGGAGGCAGTTGATCGATGTTTCTAACTCTATCCCTTTCCTTTCCTCTCTGTAAAAAAACAATAAAATATGTAAAAATAAATAAAAATTTTAAAAAAAGACTGCAACCTAGTCATGTGCCCTGACCAATGATCGAACCCAGACCTCCAGGTTCCTGGGTCGACACTCAACCACTGAGCCCCACTGGCCAGGGGACAGTTTACTTCTTCCTTTGCAGTTTGGATGCCTTTTATTTCTTCTTCTTGTCTGATTGCTGCAGACATCTCTGTCTTGTTCCTGATCTTGAGGAAAATGCTTTTACTTCTTCTCCATTGAGTATGATGTTAGATGTGTGTTTTTCATGTATGACCTTTACTCTGCTGAGATATGTTCCCTCTACTCTCACGTTGCTGAGAAATTTTATAAATTAACTGCTGGATTTTGTCAAATGCTTTTCTGCATCTTTTTGTATAATCATGATTTTTAGCCTTTTTTTGTTTATATGGTGTAATGTGTTAACTGATTTACAGATATTGTACCAACTTTGCATTCCGAAAATAAATCCCTCTTGATCATGATGTATGATCTTTTTAATGAATTGCTGGATCTGGTGTGCTAATATTTTATTGAGGATTTTAGTATCTGTGTTCATCAAGGATATTGACCTATAATTGTCTTTCTTTGTAGTGTCTTTTTTTTTTTTTTTTAAGGGCTAGGAAATGCCAAGAACAAGGGAATGATGGTTTTTACTTATTTATTTAAGTAATAAATCTCCAATCTGGGACCTCTCAAGGGATTTCCAACTGCCCATTTAGGCCCAATCCCACTGACAGTGGAACATCCCTCTCACAATCCAGGACTGCTGGCTCCCAACTGCTCGCCTGCCTGCCTGATTGCCCCCAACCGCTTTTGCCAATAAGCCTGATCACCCCCTAACCACTTCCCTGCCAGCTTGATGGACACCTAACTGCTCCCCTGCTCGCCCAATTGCCTCCATCTGCCCTCCCTGCAGCCCCAGTCACCCCTAACTGCCCTCCCTTGCCAGCCTGATCACCCCTAACTGCCCTCTCCTGCTAGCCTGGTCACCCCCAACTGCCTTCCCCTGCTGGCCCAGTCACCCCTAACTGTCCTCCCTGCAGTTGTCCCTCCAAACTGCTCTCCTCTGCCGGCCCAGTCACCCATAACTGCCCTCCCCTGCAGGCCTGGTTCCCTAACTGCCCTTCCCTGCAGGCCTGATCCTCAACTGTCCTCCCCTGTAGGCCTTGCCCCTTCCCCAACTGCCCTCCCCTGCTGGCCTGGTCATCCCTAACTGCCCTCCTTTGCCAGCCTGGTTGCCCCCACTGCCCTCCCTTGCAGGCCTGATTCCTCCTAACTGTCCTCCCTTTGCAGGCCATCTTGTGGTATCCATCTTGGGTCAACATAGGGGCAGCCATCTTTGACCACATGGGGACAGCCATCTTGTGTGTTAGAGGGATGGTCAATTTGCCTATTATGCTTTTATTATTTAGGATGTAATCCTAGGAGTAGTGACACCCCATCATCTTTTTTTCTTTTTTTTTTTAATTAATATATTTTATTGATTTTTTACTGAGAGGAAGGAAGAGGAATAGAGAATTAGAAACATGGGTGAGAGAGAAACATCGATCAGCTGCCTTCTGCACACCCCCTACTGGGGATGTGCCTGCAACCAAGGTACATGCCCTTGGCTGGAATCGAACTTGGGACCTTTCAGTCCACAGGCCAATTCTCTATCCACTGACCCAAACCGATTAGGGCTCCATCTTCTTTTTAATACTCAATTGGTTAGAATTAAATCACAGGTCCTATCTGTACTCAAAGAAAAGAGATTACACAAAGGCCTGGATAATTGAGGGTCATATTATAGTCTGAACTCTTATTTCCTCATTTATTTTGGAAGTGATAGTTCTTCCTTAAAGAAAATTATGAATGTTCTTTTAACAGGAAAGAACTTGGACATCTTCCATTTCAACTATTTATTTAATAGGTAAGGAATTTGAGGCTCGGAAAGAGTAAATGATTTGCTTAACTTACTTTCGACAAACTGTGATGCCTATGATGCCTATGGTAGTTTATTTTGTGATATTATCTTAGTTTATTTTATGATATTATCACTTTATTTTGAAATATTTTTAAAGTTTTCAATTAGCAATAACCATGCCTCAGATAAACCTCATTGGCTATGATGCTGCCACTGTGCATAGCCTAAATATTTTTAATTTATTTTAGAGAGGAAGGGAGAGGGACAGAGAGATAGAGACATCAATGAGAGAGACACATAGATCAGCTGCCTCCTGCATGCCCCCTATGGGGAATCAAGCCTGCAACCTCGGCATGTGCCAGGAATTGAACCAGGATCTCTTGGTTCATGGATCAATGCTCAACCACAGAGGCCCACCGGCCAGGCTGTTAGTATCACTTTAAATTTAAGCAAAATGAAATATACATCTATTCATGGGGGGCAAGGAAGAAGGCAGGGCAGGCATTATAAAGAATGTCACATGTAGCCGAAACTGGTTTGGCTCAGTGGAAGAGTGTTGGTCTGGAGACTGAAAGGTCCTGGGTTCGATTATGATCAAGGGCATGTACCTTGGTTGCAGGCACATCCCCGGTAGGGGTTGTACAGGAGGCGGCTGATGTTTCTAACTCTCTATCCCTCTCCCTTCCTCTCTGTAAAATATCAATAAAATATTTTTTTAAAAGAAAGAAAAAAAAGAATGTCACATGTAAATTGTCAAGTATGGCAACTACCATGTGTACATTTGTGTTTCTGTACTTGAGTACAAGAGCCAGTGAGTGAAAAAATTACTTATATTCAGGGGCAGGCTGGCACTTATATTATAGAATATAAATTATTCTATGGATTAAAAAATACAGGCTCAGTGAAGGTAACTGAATTATTCTGGGTCGTGGGCACCATCAAGTTGCAATGACCAAATCAAGGCAAAATAAATTGCTCCCTTCTGGCCCATCCCCTTTCTCTAGCACTGTTTATATAATTAATTTACAATCCTATGAAATTTTCATAGCCCTTACTTTTTTCCTTTTGCCTGTATGTCTTTCCACTCTTGGTCACCCCTAACTGCCCTCCCTTGCAGGCCTGGTCCCTCCCAACTGTCCTATGATAGTTGGGTGTGGGGATGGATGGGGGTGGGGAGGAGCTGGTAAGAAACAGATTGTTAAATCTTCCACACCTTTTAGATGTCTATAAGTATCTCCTGGCTTTTAGGCATGTTGCCATAACTAAGCCTAGGAGAACCTACTTCATAAATGGTTTATCTGCATAATAGGTAATTTGAATTTCCTTCAAGTTCAAACATTCACAAACCAGTAATAGGCTTTATAATTTTTTAAAATCCCAGTTCATATTCTTGATCTCATTTATTTTCGGGAACTACTTCTCATTTAAGGCATACTGAAGAATTCACAGAGAGGTTTTTAAAATCAAGTCTGAATGTTCTCACTGTTGAATGTTTATAACATTTTTTTTTTTTCCTTTTTGATAGTCTTGGGAAAAACCACACAATTTCCGGGGGTGAAGGGGGGCGGGTGTAGAATTTTTTCACTACATAGAGAGTGCATTCTCCTAACGTATCTTTGGCATTAACTCCCCCAAATCTTTGAATCCAAGGCACACTTCCAGGGCACCTTAAACTGTTCCGTTTCCAGGAAGGAGTCATCCAGACCCAGCGCCTCTGGAATCACTCAAGGTCACTGGGGCAGGTATCCTGCCCGGCCCACTTTCCCTCTCGGAAGCCGGCGCCCCGCGTTCTTCCCACCCTTGGGGTTCATTCAAGTCCGACTGCGACCTGGAGGCGAAACCCCGTTAGCCCTCCGGGCGGCAGGGCTCGGACCGCGCCTCCGCAAGGTTGCTGAGTGGCTGGCGGCGGGGGCGGTCGGGAGGAAGCCGGGGCGGAGCCGCGGCATCTGGCCGGCAGGGCTGCACTTCCCGGGGCCGCACTCTGCCCGGCAGGCGACGCTCTGCTCCCGGCTCCTCCGCGCGCCGCGCCCGCTCTCCCGCCCGCCCGCCCGCCCGCCGGCCGGCCTCTCGCCGCCGGAGCCATGGACCTGCGGATGCTCTCCCGGGAGCTGTCCCTGTACCTGGAGCACCAAGTCCGGGTTGGGTTCTTCGGCTCGGGAGTGGGCTTGTCCCTGATCCTGGGCTTCAGCGTCGCTTACGCCTGCTACTACCTGAGCAGCATTGCCAAGGTGAGCCGAGGGGAGGCGCGGGCGCCGCCGGGGCGCAGGGCCAGGGGCGGCTCTGCGGGGAGCCACAGCAGCGGGCGTAGCCGGAGGCTAGTCGCTGGCAGGAGATCGCCGGCTGGGGACGTCCTGGGGGCGAGCCTGCTGCTCCCCGGCGTCGCCCTTTCCCCCCACCGCCGGCACCGAGGAACGCCCTTGGAGCGCGCGCGCGCGGGGAGCCGGCCAGCGCCGGGCCGCCAGCGGGGGTCCGCCCCGCTCCGCGGACCGCAGCCCGCACCGCCTGACCTCGGACCGCTGCCCTGTCCCCGAGATCCGCCCCGCAGAGCTGCTCGGGAATGCCGGAGCACTTTTTAGAATGACGGATCACTTTTTAGGATGACTTATTCCAACTCGCGCCGGTCCCGATCCCCCGGAGGAGCGGATGCCCCGTTGTGGCTGTGGGTTATTTGCGTCCGGCTCCCAGTAATCCCCGGGATTTGCGCCCGCGCCGGGGACGAGCCGGGCGGGTTGTGGTTCACAGTTGGCAGAAACTTTCTCCGTTCCGCATCCTTAACGGAACTGTCTTTCCTCCCCCCCGCAGAAGCCCCGGCTGGTGACGGGGGGTGAGAGCTTCAGCCGCTTCCTCCAGGACCACTGCCCCGTGGTGACCGAAACGTACTACCCGACCGTCTGGTGCTGGGAGAGCCGAGGGCAGACCCTGCTGCGACCCTTCATCACCTCCAAGCCCCCCGTGCGGTACAGGAAGTAAGTGCATGTCCGTTGTCAGCCATACCTTCCAGATCACCGCTCTTTGCATTCTGCTGGTCAGTAGAACCTTTGGTTTAGTAGAAAAAAAGGAAGAATGGTCATGGAAAGCATGCCCTTCACGCCACACCCAGCTGCAGGGACATGTCAGGTATTGCCTTTCACCATTTTTTTTTTGGGGGGGGGGGGTGTGCTCAGGTGTAAATGGTTTATTTCTAGACTACTACGAGAAATGTTTGGGGGTTACACTTTTCCAAAGTCATCATGCACCTGCCCCTGAGGACCAGATCCTTGGATGATAGGTACAAGTTCACTGTTGCTGGGGATAAGGGTGGGGGTAAGAGGATGAATCATTTGGATTTTTGTGTGGCAAACCCCCCTGTACAGGGGCTTTTGGATAAGCAAATGGGTTCTTGGTGATAATGCCCTTGACGTGTTAAGGAGATGGTCCAAGATATACCAGTAACCAGGAGATTGAAATGGTGCCTATTATTAATTTCCCTGAGTCATCTAGTCCTTGTGGGGTTCCTCTAGTTGCCTGGAACTTGCACTATTTGTCTGTGAAATTCCTATATGTTCAGAGGTACTATGGGAGAAGTACTTTAAATTTAAGAAGCAAATTTTGTAATAGACTCTGGGAAGACTCCGTTATTGAGTCAAACAGGCAGAGAAGAGATCGTATCTGCATTTTATTTATTCATAATTCACTGTTAAATTATGTGGCTGACCTCAATCAAACAGGGGTTAAAGGCTGGGTATTTTAGAGAAATGAGGAACTAATTAAGATAAATACTTGAGCCCGGCAGGTGTGACTCAGTGGTTAAGCCTCGATCTGTGAACCAGGAGGTCATGGTTCCATTCCTGGTCAGGGCGTGTACCTGAGTGGTGGGGCAGGAGGCAGCTAATCAATGATTCTCTGTCTTCATTGATGTTTCTGTCTCCCTCTCCCTTCTTCTCTGTAATCAATAAAAAAATATATATTTTTAAAGAGATCACCCAACCTCCGTGGCTCAGTGGTTGAGCGTGGAACTACGAAGCAGGTCGATTTCGGGTCTGGGGACATGTCAGGTTTGCAGGCTCAATCCCTAGTAGGGAGCATGCAGGAAGCAGCCAATCAATGATTTTTAAAAAATGTATTTTTATTGATTTTAGAGAGGAAGGGAGAGGGAGAGAGATAGAAACATCCGTGGTGAGAGAGAACCATTGATATGATCCTCCTACATGCTCCCTACTGGGGATCGAGCCCTCAACACGGCATGTGCCCTTGACCAGAATCGAACCTGGATCCTTCAGTTCTCAGCCCGACACTATCCACTGAGCCAAACCAGCTAGGGCCAATCAGTGGTTCTTATTGATATTTCTCTCTCTCCCTCTCCCTTCCTCTCTGAAATCAATTTTAAAAAATTTAAAATCATAGTAATGCATAAAATAAAAAAGATAAATACTTGAAATACTTTGAAGTTCATTTTTATATACTACCTTTTACAAGTGTTGCTGGAAATACTTTAAGGTACTAATTTCAGAATATTTTTGTAATGAAAGAAAGTGATATAAGTGTGTGTTGGTGAGTGCTGAAGAAAAGTTATTTTGAGATGACCAAATACTATCTTATATTTGTAGAATTAAGACACTGATATTAAGATGCAACTTGAAGCACTGAATGTGTCTCTGAATTGTTTCTTTTAGTGAATGTGTTAAAACGGCAGATGGAGGACAGATTTTACTGGACTGGTTTGATAACGACAACAGTAAGAACTATATGGACGCCAGCACCAGACCTACTATCTTATTGTTGCCCGGCCTCACTGGAACAAGCAAGGAGTCGTATATCCTTCATATGATCCATCTTAGTGAAGAACTAGGATACAGGTACTGGTGATTTTTTTTCCCCATTTTTCACTTAATTAATTCTAAATGAAACACAAATTACCTTCCTTTGTTTCAGAAATGCTTATTGTTTATTGCATGGATTAAGCAACCTCCTACATTGTTATTTTCTCTATTTCTTCATTCCCTGTTTTGTTTTGTTTTTTCTTGTTTTTTTTTTTTCCAGGAAGATGTGTAACTAAATTATTTCATGGGAAGTAGCACTTAGCATAGTGGGCACTCAGCAGATTTTGGTTGAATGAAATTAGAATCACCTAGGAATTGACATAAAACCCAGGTTTGAGGACCACTGAAGAGAGTGCTGTACAGAATAGCAGAAACCTGAGAGAGTATACTGTGGCCTTCATGTCACGTTCCATATTTGAGTCCTCGATCCACTTACCTTGCCTCAGATCCAAGTGTAAAAAATATTCAAAATCAGCCGACACTGGTTTGGCTCAGTGGTAGAGCGTTGGTCTGCAGACTGAAAGGTCCCAGGTTCGATTCCAGTCAAGGGCATGTACATTGGTTGCGGGCACATCCCCAGTAGGGGATGTGCAAGAGGCGGCTGGTCGATGTTTCTCTCTCATCGACGTTTCTGGCTCTCTATCTCTCTCCCTTCCTCTCTGTAAAAAAAAAAAAAATCAATAAAATATATTTTAAAAAGTCACATTGGATTAAAAATTAATTTATTTGCAAAGTACTTTTCACATGGTAAACAATATAAAAATATACATATTCAAAATCAGCTTGTAGGTGTCCATATTTTTCCAAAGGTATCTATGCCTCTTTGCATGTCCACATGGTAGTGTTCAGTTAATGATGTCACACCATTTTTGAAAAAAACATTATTCAACTTGGTTAGCAGATGCAATTGATTTATCAATATTAAATTTCAGGTTCAGCTCTAAAATCTTAAAACAGTCATTGCAAAGGTACTGCTTTTTTGTGCCTCAATCTTTTTCAGCTGATAATTATTGTAATGTGACACTCTGAGTTGCACTTAGAATTGTATCTTATGTTAAACTTGAGCTACTTGTTTGTGTGAAAAACTGAGGTTGAGTTTATATTAATAAAAATATTTGTATATATATCTGTAACAGTGTTAACAATATAAATAAAGAGAAAGTATTTTTATATAAAGGGGAAAATGCCAGAAGAGTTATTTCAATGTTGACAAGTTAATTCTGATCTTTTAAAGATAAAGCATATTTTGTCCATGAAATGACAATCTCTCAGAAGCTTTGATATGGCATTTCAGAATTATGGTTTCAATGACATTTGCACTAAGCAATATCAGAAATGTATCATTATTGGATGTTTAAGCACCAATGTGAGGCTTGATTCCAATTTTTTGCTAAAACTTAGTCATGCTCAAGAAGTACAGATCATAAAGCCTTTTGTACATATTTAAATTGCTGATTCTATACTTGGCCTGATCTATCTCCCAAGATTTAGAAAGTACTTTTAAAAACAATGCAGTTGAAACTAAGGGACTGAATCTTATAAGTCTTAGAGTTGCCAGGAAGCATGGCTTTCTTCCATCATTTGTAAAAGTTGCCAAATTTTATTACCAAACTAAAGACCCAGTGCACGGATTCATGCACCGATGGGGTCCCTTGGCCTGGTCTGCACTCTCTCACAATCTGGGACCCTTCAGGGGATGTCGGATAGTCAGTTTTGGCCAGATCCCAGCAGGCCTGATCCAGACAGGAGGGACCCTGATCCTGTGCGTTGAGTGTCTTTCCCCTCGTGGTCAGTGTGTGTTATAGTGACTGGTTGTTCGATTGTTCAGTCATTCGGCCACTTAGGCTTTTATATATATAGAGATAGATTTTATTACCATTTTATTACACTGAGCTTCAAAGCTGTTGGGAGGTTCTAACTTCCCTACAGGTTAAAATCTCTTAGATGGATTTAGAAGCTTTATTGAGAATATATGACACAAGGAAGGCTTGTGTTAGGTACTATGTGGAGATACAAAGAGTTGTGAGAAGTTGTCCTTGCCTCAAGAAGCTTATGAGAGGGGAGGCTGGATCAGGCCTCTGTCAGTTTCTTGAAGACCCAGTTTATTTGGGTTCAGGGAAATCTAACACTGAATCAGGTAGTAGAATGCATGAATAAGGAAGGTCAATAAATATTTCAATAGCCTTTGGGCCTATCCTCACTAATTTTTAATTGACGAGGAATCTCTGAATCTAAGTTAGAGAGAGTGTATTAGTTAGTTTTTGCTGTATAACAAACTATCCAAAACTTAGTGGCTAAAAACAACCACCATTTCGCTCACAATTCTGTAGGTAGCAATTTGGGCTGAGCTCAGCTGCGTAGTTCTTCTGGTCTTGGCTGGAATCATTTGTGTATTTGTGGTCATCAGCCAGAATAACTCCATGCTTGGGTACCCTTTACAAGGATGACTCATCTCAGCTTCACATAGTCTCCATATCAAGCTCACCCTGAGGTTGATCATTTGGTGGCAAAGGCTTCCAATCGTGCAAAAGTGAAAGCCAAATGGCTTCTTGAAGCCAAAGCTGAGAACCCTCACAATGTTGCTTCTACTGCATTCTAGTAAAACAAAGTCACTTTCTAGTTGAAGCAAGTCAGCCCAGAGTCAAAGAGTAGGGAAAGAGACTCCATCTCTTGACAGACATTAGGAGCTATCTTTGCAATCAATCAAAGATGGTCAGGTAGTTGCAAAGACCACTGAGGTAAAAAATGCACCTGGAACTTTGGCACAAGGCTGAGTTGAGTTCTTAGGTGGCAAAACAGATGTAAGTCGTTGATACTGTGGCCTGGGGTCTAGTAGGTAACATAGCTTGTGGAAGGCTGTGCAGTGTGGGGGATGCACATGGGCCTTGGAGCCAGGCCTGGATTCAAATGTTGGAACTACCACTTACTTAGTGACCCTGGGCAATTAATTTTTAACTTCACCAATCACAGTTTCTTACTAGAGAGTTTAATGAATCAGACTGTATAAAGTACTTGGTTGAGTGCCCTGAACAAAGTGAGTCTTTAGAAATGTTCAGGTCTTCCTTCTCAGGTCTGTTTCCTGATCAAAGTAGAACATTTTTAAAAAATATATATATAATTTAAAGAGCAAGTACAAGTAAATCTACCTCTTGGAAATATAAACATCTCGTTATCTCCTAATACTTATTCCTCCTTTCTTCCCCAGTAACAGAATCCTCCAATTTCAGTTGGGTAGATAGCTGCCCAAAAATAAAGACTTCACTTTAAAACCTTCCTTGATGCTAAGAAACAGCAGGCCAAAGTGATATCAGTAAAAGTAGTGTGCACAGCTGCTAGGAAGCATCCTTAAAGGACCCTGGTGCTGCATTCTCTAGTCTCCATTTTTTCTCTTTCCTGGGTGCTGGCAGGCAGATGTGATAGCTGGAGCTGAAGCAAGCCATGGCTTATGAAGCAATGCAATATAGGAAACTTAGTTTCCTGAAACTATAGGGCACCATACAAGCTCTGGTCTACCTTCATGGGCTTTTACATGAGAAATAAATTTGTACCTTGTTTCAGTCACTGTTATTTTGAGTTTTCTGTCATTTGTGGGCAATCCTGGCACTTCCTAATACATTTCTTCCCTACCACTGCCAACTCTTTGTCACTTCAATTAGACTGTATGCTCTTTGGGAATATAAGTTCTGATAGTGTCCTTTACAGTAAGTACCAAAATACTTAATGAATGGCCTAGATTTCAATGGACATTTTATTACATAATTCTTTTTTTTTCCAGGTTGTATTTTAATGTTTTAAAATGATACATACAAAGAGCAAAATCTGCAAACAGTACAAACGTATATTTGGTGAAAAGTGTCTTCCTGGTACCCAGTCACTCAGCTCCCTTTCCAGAAGCAATTTCTAGTACCAGTTTCTTATGCTTTCTTTCAGAGATAGTCCTTGTCCTTGCAAACATGAATGTGAAGATCTCCCCAGTATCTTTTATTTATTTATTTAAAAAATTTAATTAATCTTTATTGTTCAGATTATTACAATTGTTTCTCCTTTTCCCCCCTCATAGCTCCCCTCTACCGAGTTCCCACCCTCTGTCCTTACCTCCCCCTGCCCCCTCCGTCCACATCCATAGGTGTATGATTTTTGTCCAGTCTCTTCCCATACCCCCCACACAGACACCCCTTTCCCCCTGAGAATTTTCAATCCACTCCCATTCTATGTCCCTGATTCTATTATATTCACCAGTTTATTGTGTTCATCAGATTTTTAATTCACTTGACTTTTAGATTCATTTGTTGATAGATATGTATTTGTTGTTCATAGTTGTTATCTTTACTTTTTTCTTCTTTTTCCTCTTTTAAAGAATATTTTTCAGCATTTTATATAATGCTGGTTTGGTGGTGATGAACTACTTAACTTTTTCTTGTCTGTAAAGTTCTTTATCTGACCTTCAATTCTGAATGATAACTTGGCTGGGTAGAGTAATCTTAGTTGTAGGTTCTTGCTATTAATCACTTTGAATATTTCTTGCCACTCCTGTCTAGCCTGCATAGTTTCTGTTGAGAAACCAGCTGATAATCGTATGGGTGCTCCCTTGTAGGTAACTGTTTTTCTCTTGCTGCTTGTAAGATTCTCTCTTTATCCTTTGCCCTTGGCATTTTAATTATGATGTGTCTTGGTGTGGTCCTCTTTGGATTCCTTTTGTTTGGGGTTCTTTGCGCTTCCTGGACTTATAAGTCTATTTCTTTCACCAGGTGAGGAAGTTTTCTGTCATTATTTCTTCAAATAGGTTTCAGTGTCTTGCTCTCTCTCTCTCTTCTTCTGGCACCCCCATAATTCTGATGTTGGTACGCTTGGAGTTGTCTCAGAGGCTCCTTACACTATCTTCAACTTTCTGGATTCTCTTCTCTTCTTGCTTCTCCAGAGGAGTGTCCTTTGCCTCTTTGTATTCCAAATCTTTGACTTGATTCTTGTGTTCCTCTAGTCTGCTGTTGAGTCTCTGTATAATATTTTTTATTTTAGTCAATGTATGTTTAATTTCT